TTACAGATCCTTTTAGCATGTAAAATGCATAAAAAAATAATAATGACTCATAAATAGTTTAAAAAAGGCGCGGCGTTGGCGGAATGACAGAGTACAATACGTTCACTGAGTCTGCACTATGAACTTTTCACCCGAATCAAAGTTAGCTTAAACAAAATGATCTATTGAAACGAAGAAAGTAGTATATTTGTGATTATATCAGTAATTCGCTTGATAAGGTGTTTGAACTCGAACTGACCGTTGACGGGTGATTATTCAGACTTCCCCTGCACATACTCACTGTGGATGAATGCACAACGTGTTTGTAAAGAGTTCCACTGACAGCTGGCAGTCTGAAAGAAAATGGGAGAGCGCTAACTGGTGCAGCGCTGTTTCTTTTTAAGCTGGCGATCATTTCTTCGGAGCTTCATTTTGTTGCTATTGCAAAGAAAGCTTCCCAGTTGGTATCCAGACTGAAACGTTGCTATAAGTTCATCGCTGTCCTATCTTTAGTGTAGGGAATAGAGATTCAAGATATTGAAGCGCTGCGCCAATTGTTTGGGTTCATTAACAGTCTTTGTCACACGTCGTTGGGCACCTTCAAAAATACATAGATCTTTCCGAATTCAAGACCTTCAAGCCTGTACCGCACCCTATAGGTGCGGCCGCGTCAATACTCCATATACTTTACCGAGTATATCTGCATTCACGTTAACAAAGGTCCTTCGTTTCGCACTTATTGCCCCGGCTGCGACTTTGAAACACCGTGTTGTGGCGCCTAAGTCGTCTTTAGTAGATACTTTTCATTTTTGTGGGGTATTTCGTACTTCGGATCATTTCATAGTGGAAGCGTTTTTACAATTTTATAGGCCGAGGTAAAATGCGAATTTGCTGCAGGTTCAACGGTTAATTAAAAAGAAACTATGACTTAGTGATAAGAATTGCCTGGCAAGTCCTGCTTGAAGGAGTGTGCAGACATATACAGCGCACTTGTTACAATGACATGAAGTAATAAAATATGTTCTTACCCTATACGACTTTAAGACCATCAATCAACTGGTTGTTATCTCTAAGCCTATACGCTGGTGCATCTGTGGAAATTCTTTTTCCCTGGGGGACGAAACAAATATATAAAATTAATTTTGAGAGATTGAGAATATCAATGTGTAATTCCGAGTGGTTTGACTGTTGCGATATGCTCGCAATGATCAGAAATGGAACAATTTAATGACTTTCTTTGATGATCGTTCACCGATTGTTAATGAAACTCATTCTTTCAGTTGTGCCTTGGGGCTCACCCTCGAGCCCCGCCAGCAGTCGCACAGCAGTGGAGGCAAATGTCGGGCTCAAGAGTGAGCCTCAAGGTAGAACGAGGTTGGACTTCTGATCCACAGGTCGCGGGGTCGAGCAAGTCTAATTTGCAGTCTCCCCTGTTTCTTCCGGCAGTGTTCATCTGATAAAACGACTATTCACCGAAAACCCTCTTCTCCCGAAAACCATCTTCCCCCAACAATAGCAGAACGTAAACATTTTGTTTGTTTTTTATTTTCAGCCCGATTACAAAATTGCTGATCCCATCTGTACCTTCATATTCTCCGTTCTCGTTCTGCTGACCACTGTCAGTATTCTTAAGGATGCACTGAACATCCTGATGGAGGGCACACCTAAAGGCATCAATTTTGCGGAGGTTCGACAGGCTCTCTACGATATCCCCGGTGTGGTTGAGGTTCACAACCTTCGTCTGTGGAGCCTGACCACCACCAAGAGCGCCGTTTCGGTGCACTTAGCAGTATGTACGTGGAGCACCTGATTTAACTCTTGTCATTATAACCTTGTCACTTTATCTGCCAATTTGATCAAATTTGGTCGGAAAATGAAGAAAGGAGCATTAGCTTGTGTCTGAGCTTAGACCGGATTCACATCATCTTACTCAAAATGGTTTCGCCTTGGATGAGCATATGTGTCCTTGACGGTGAACTGGGCTGTGTCATTTCACCGTTTTAAAGAGACGCCTGATAAAAGTGGGGATATCAACGTATCTGACCCCAGAGGCAGTGTCGAAGGCCCAGGCCTCCAGCAATTCTTACCCCGTTTTATAGCCGGCTCGCGTCTTTATGCGATTGCTCACAAAGTCCAGTTCAGGACCTGTGTAGAAACTTGAGATAGCATGTCACCTGTGTTCACTTCGTCCCTGTTCCGATCAGTACCTTTTTGTGTCCCCGCACTTAAATGAAGCGTAAACATGATGATTCATGCGAAGAACCGGTATATCTGTAGTAACCCAACTCCGAGTCCACGCTCAAACTCTTGCGGCGGCCAGCACACGCACGCACGCACCAGTGTCTGCCTACCTCAACCCGGTCTGGCTAATCATTTCCCTATGACCGACTCACCCAAAGACCGCGCTGTAGACGTTGTGTTGACTCCCGTGCTCTCACACTTCGGACGTGACTCTCCCGCGGGTGGCCGTGCCCTCGTCCAACCGTCGACTTCCTCCAAACTATTCTCCATTACCTCTGTAAACAATATACATACTATTCCCTCATCGCGCTCATCATCTCCCAAAGGTAAGGAAGAAGAAGAGTAGGTGGGTTCATGGACCATATTATATTTGAACTGACGTTTCGAAAACCTTCTCGCTTCCATCGTCAGAGTGAGTGCTAGCTACGTCTGGTAGTCTTGAGTTAGCCAGCCTTGCCGTCTGCCTCAAATTATATTGGTGTGGGACGTGTGAACTTTGGCCTGTCCGTTAGTTGCCGACCCCATTTGGTCTCCCGGAGGTTGGCTGCTGGTGACCTTGCGTGACCTTTGTCCCCTCTGTGGTCAGTGTAGTTGTAGGCGAGTCAATATGGTCGCTGGCCTCCCCCACGTCACCCCGTGGACTGATCATTCGTTGCTGTTCATTGGGGTTGTTCTTTGTCTCGCGGTTATAACGGTAAAACAGTGTTGGTCGCGTGACCTCCGACCTCCACCCCTATTTT